CAGCACCAGGAGAAGGAGGAGCGAAAAGGAGGATTGCGGAGGACGATAGACGCGATCACCCCAGCATGGTCCATGCAACGTAGAGGAAAGGAGCGATGAGGAGGAGGTGGAGGAGGAGGATGAGTAAGGGGAGAGGGACGAGGAGGAGAAGGAGAGGAGGGGGAGCGAGGAGAGGAACGAGGAAGGAGAGGATGAGGAGCTATGAGGGGAAGCGAGGAGGAGGAGGATAAGGAACAACAGAAAAACAATTTTGGAACGTGGAGACGGGGTGGCGGTGCGAGGAGGGGGGGTGGAGGAGATGTGAGCGCTTCGCAGCGCCGAGAGCTTCCCGCGGCACCCGCTCGGTGCTCTATCGCACCCAGCGCGGGACTGGCGATCACTGAGCTCTTGGAAGGGTGGTCGCCGCACGCACTCCAGCTAGCTGTCCAGGCGACCCCTCCGAAGCGCCAGAGCAAGCACGCACTGCGACATGTCGATTGGGAATCCGTGTTACGAAGAGTTGGTGTTCTGTGATCGTTCGGTTTCATTAGAGGTCAACCGCTTGCTCGGGGACTTGTTGCCGCTGCGATTTCGCCGTCGATGCGTCCGTCGGAAGGAACGGGGAAGGGAAGAGAGTTTGGTGAGGAGGAAGGCAAGACAAAAGTAGGAAGTAGGAAGCCAACCCTGGCAAGGTCGTGAAAAGTAGCTGACGACTTCTCGGATGTAAGACTAGAATGTATTCAGTGGATCGCAACGCAGTAGGCGACGAACATGGTCAGGCTCCACGCCAATCGTGTACAAGATCAAGCCATGGCTAGTGACGGCTCCGACTCAAGATTATGATCGGCCTATAAGGTCGCACACAGAAGTTCCCTTATGCGCCCTGCCTTCACCACAAACGTCACCGTCACCATCCTCGTGGCCACTGCTGGAGTCGCCCAGAAATTCCGGTCAAAACGCACCCCAGTAGAGGTCCAGGGAATAGTATCGATACCTTCGGGCTGCACAGGGCCATTAACTATCGGCGCTCCGCTCGGATTTCTCGTATCGGCGCTGGACCCCCCCTGGCGGCGCCTCTGGCGCCGCCCCTGGCGCGCTCCGCGCGCTAGGGATGGGGGATCCAGCGCAGATCCAAGAAATCCGCGCGGAGTTCCAACAGTTGTTTCTTCTTTTTTGATTCCAACTATCGTGAAGTCGAGCGGAATTTCGGGCCGCGCCCATGTTCAGGTCCATCACCAAGATGTTCAAGCCAGTAGATGTGCCAGCCAGTGGTTGAGATGCTGTGTGCTTGCCTGCCCTTGCGTGGCATCCAGGCCCGAGGCGCCGCCAGGGGAAGGTCTAGCGGCGATCCAAGAAATCCGCGCGGATCTCCAACAGTTTATGTTCATGAACCGTTTTTCTTCCTTTATGCGTGCCCCGTGTCGGTGGCGAAATCCACACCCTACCCCCGCCGATCAACGATTCGGGCAAATCTGGCCTGTTTCCGGAGGCCCTCCAAGACATAGCAGCCTCGTGCTGCAAGGCGTGCTCCTCGACCTCCGGGCGTCTGCCCCGTTGTCGCCACAGCCTCGGACGGGGCTGGATAGAGAGAGAGAGAACGTTGAGTGCAAAGAACGTGAGCACAAATGCCGTGGCCTCACAGGGCGTCGCAACACCGCTTCATAATTAGCTGCGCGCCAGGCTGCGGCAGAAATTGTGTTATCGTGCCAGAGATGCGGCAGGGCCTCCTCACCCCCCGCGGCACAGACAGCGTCGGCAAACATTATTTCGGTCCAAGTTTTCCCGGTGCGCCCCCGCGTTCGCTTGAAGTTTTGTTGTGCTAGTTTGCATGAAAAGAAGGCTTAGGACAATGTATCTGACAGGCTCATCAGCTGACGATTCAGTAGAGTATTGCTCAGTTGGGAAACGCTTGCTTGCTGCACAACATTGAAAAATCGTTGCATGGCTAATGTATGAATGAGGTATGCGAGGTATCTGCCTCACACATCTCACGTGGAATGCGTCGAGCTTCTTCGCTTCCGCCTGGCTCAGGAAGGCCAGGCCGTATGCAGACAATGCAGCAATTCATTGAGTATGCAAGCGCAGAAGATCTCAAGCTTCATTGACTGCGTCAGCGGGGAATGACCCCGCACTCGCATCAACTCGTCGAATTCCGCCCGCGCTTCGCCAAGTCGGCGGGAGAGTTCAGGGCCAATTTTCCCGTCGCTTGAAAACAGGCTGCCCAGATATTGAATGCTCTCTTTCTGCGGCACCCAGAGACCGTCTGGCTTTGGAATGTGCGCATCGCATCCAACGGATAGAACTTCCAGCTTGTGCAAATTTAACTGCAGCCCATACTGCGTTCCGGCTTTTTCGATGCTGCGCATGTATGGCGTCGCTGTATCGGACCCGCCAGATACGAGCAGTGCGTCGTCGGCGTAGACCAAATCATGTACCGCCTGGGAGAGGTTGGGCAGCGGCCCGGCCTGCTCCTTCGCGTCCCGCAGCAACGCAGTCATCACGATCGCGAAGAGGGCGACAGCGGGCACCCCTGGCTCATGCCGAATTCATCCGCCCTCGGCGCCGATGTCGAGCCAGATGTTAGAGATTTCGGGGAGACGCTGTCGAAGGCTTTCGCCCAATCGAGTGCCAGTAGGACGACCTGCCCGTCCTTCTCGGCCCAGGTTCTTTCCAGAATTCGCCGGAGAAGATCGTCCGTGCCACGCTTGGACTTGAAGCCGAACTGAGTGCGCCATATACGGCTCTCTGCCCCGCCTGCTTTCAGCCGGCCCAATAACATTGCAGCGAAGATTCTGTAGCCGACGGCCGTCGAGGAGATGGGCCAGTAGTTTTCGCATTGGGCCACGTCACTCTTCTTGGACAGTTTTGCGACCAGCGCCTCGTGCCACTCTGCTGGAACTGCCGCGTCAGTCCAGCATTGGTTGCGCAGCTCGGCAGTCCACCTGCAGGCAGGCGGCCCAACTCGGCAGACAGTCTTCCAAAACTCTGGCGGGATATCGTCTTCGCCAAACGCTGTACCTCGCCTCATCCGAGCAGCCACGCCAACGACTTCGCCTTCGGTGATAGGGCCACATGGCACAGCCAGCCAGCTCGTTGCCAAGGGGGTCCTCGTTCGGCGCTGCGCTCGTCGGCCGCACTGCCCACTGGACTCTGCTAACGTAATCTGTCATCGTGTCTGCACTTTCGTCGGAGTCAACAAGAAGACCTCCCATGTCGGCTAACTGGCCCTGCTGGGCTTGCGCTCCTTTTTTCAAGGCGCGGATCGGTGCCCAGTCTCCTGAGGCGAGCTTGCTCTTTAACCAATCCGAACGATCTGCCTTCACGGAATCCTTCACAGCTCGGTGCAAGCGCCGGTCTTCCTGCGTCGTCTTTATGCTCTCGCTGAGTCTTTCTGGTCTATAAGCTGGAGTGTCCTGTCAGATATCCACGGGCGCCGCGGTCTCCTCGCGAGGGTCGGAGGAGCGTCTCGGGCAGCACAACGAAAAGCATCGGTCATGCTCGACGCGAGCTGTTGGACGCTCGCTCACCCGTGCTCGCGCCCGCTTGAGTTCATGCGAATACGCAAAGCATCGGATAATGCGTTGGCCACCATTTCGTCTCGAAGCTCGCGATGTTGTCGTCGAGGCTCGAGGGGGCCGTTGTCTTCGCGAGGGACGTCCACTTCCAGGGATGCAATCACGAGAAAATGATGCGACACGATCGCCATGTGCTTGGTACTTTCAGCACTCTTCAAGCACCGAAGCCATTCAATGGACAGGATCGCATAATCCAGCTGCCCGTACTTCTGGTGTAGCGGGGGGTCCGCTGGCGAGCGTCCGATTCCATAGTAGGTCATCTGGCGCTCCAGGGGCTCGTCGAACACTGTGTTGCCGACAGCGAACAAGCGAGGTGTGCCAATGTCGAGCAGGAAGATCCTATTTGATTCCGGGTTGTGCCGTGCTGGCGAGTTTCCTAAAATGAACGGCCCCAGCACGTCCTCTTCTCCGGGAAAGCGCCGCCGGTGTATTCTGGCGTTGAAACCGCCAAATAACAGCACCGGTCCGTGAGCGGAGTAATTGCAGAGGAGGCCGGCGGAATCGGAGAAGAAAATTTGTCGGTCGACGAATGGTTTCCCTCCGTGCGGGGCGGAGGCGTTGTTGCTAACCATTTTCCCCCCAAAGACCCGCAGTTTGAGGGACGCCATTTTCGACGAGGCTTGTCTGAAACCAATGACGGCGCGACGCGCCAGCGGCGAGATCAGGAACCCATCTCCTGCAGTTGCCTCCGGTTCGTCTTCTGCCGTGCCCGACAGGATAAGCAGGAAACCCTTGTCTTTGATCTCATAATCAGATTTACCTTTGAGCGTTTCCTGGGTGCAGATAATGCCGATGTCCTCCTGCTGCATGTGCCGCTGGAGCTCTACAATTTTGGTCTCCGTAAGCCTTTCAACATTCCAGGTCTTAACTTTGAATTCCCGGCGAACCGGCCGCCCCGAACGATTCCCGCTTCATATGACCTTGTTGTGCATGGCGTTGATCGATTTGGTACCAAAGTTGGAGCTTGAGGTGTGAAACACTACACATGTTCTGGGTGAAACTGTGGGTGAAGCTGTACTCATGTGCTGTGTTTCCTAGTGCCCTTTGGCACCTCCCTTCTGCCCCTTCGAGCCTTTCATGCCCAAGGCAGCCTGGGACAGCATGTCCGCGTTCTTCTTGGATAAGGTCTTGCACAGCTTGGTTTTTGTGCAGCTCTTCCCATGTCCTCCAATCGCCGTGCCATGCACATCGCACGGCGGTGTCGTCAACGTGGGCCGTCAGAGCGTTCGGGAACGCTCTCAGATCGTGCCGGAAAGCTCTGAGAAGGCCGCGGTGCCCGAGACATCCTCAAGAGCCGCCATATCTCAGGGATTCTCGATTCATCCTCACCCGATTGTATCTTCGCCCTGGTTTCGTCTTGCAGCCTGCCCAGCGCTTCGCGCAGCTGCGGTTGCTCGCCGCCCCGCTTTCCCCTCTGTTGGCCCCCGGGCGCCGCGAGCGCCGCAGGGGACGTTCGACTGGCTGGACACCTTCATGGAGACGCACGAGAAGCACATGGAGCTCAGCGACAGGAGGACTCCTTTTCAGAGGAGGAAAGCGGAGGGCGCCAACTTTACACCGACACCGATCCGGGCCAGGCCGATCTTAGTCCTAGGATCGGTGTATGCACTCTGCCCAAGGCAGCAGGGTGTACACACCCATCCTGGGCCCAGGGTGATCCTGGCCGGGATCGGTGTTGGTGCATAATTGGGGCCGTCCTAGAAGAGACTCGGTGGGTTCGCGTCGTGTCGCGTCTTGCGGCGACCCCGCTGCCGGCGTTCAACGTTGAACGCCGCCGGCGACCCAGAATTTGAGCGGCGCGCACAAGGGAGCAGAGGGATGGGGGAGGGCTTAGAAGGCGGCTGCCTCTTAGAAGGCGCCGGCCGCCCTTCTAAGAAGCCGGGGGCGCGCTGCTTTTTAGAAGCACCCCTCCTGTTTCTCAGGAGCTGCCTCTTAGAAGCAAAACAAGTTTCTTAGAAGCAAGGCACCCGCTTCACAGAAGCACGCCAGGAATAGTTCTTGGAAGGGGCGCCTGCGCCTTCTAAGAAGGGGGGTGCTTCTAAGAAGCCTTCTCCCCTAGCCCGCCACCCCTTTCTGCGCGTGGCTGGGAATCGGTCGATGTAGAACGATCTGACGTTTCGGAAACCGCCGATCGTTCAAGGTTGAACGATCCCTGCGGTGTCAGGAACCAACGCCAGGGTCGACACGACATGAACCCGCGGTACCCATGCCGCTACCCTTCTCTGGAAGGGCTTTCCCTCACACCTGCGAGTGGCATGCCCCGCTGTTGTTGTCTCGTCCCACGAATGGCCCACAAGTTCCCCACTATTGGCCCGCTAATGGCCTTCTAATGACCCTACTGATGGCCCCGCTAATGGCCCAGTGATGACTTTGGCCCACTATTGGCCCACTAATGGATTCGACCCGTTTTCCCCTCCTTGGGCCTCCCATGGGTTTCACGGGAGGCCTTCATTGCCACCGCTGGATTCGCCTCGAAATGCTGGTCAAAAGGAAAAGAAGTCTGGGGAGTAGCCGTATCAGTGCCGATTGGCTCCCCCCCCTTCTTCGTTCGGGGGGCGCCTGCGGACCGCCCCACACCGACCATGGCTGGGCCCCATCCCTGGGTTCAGGATTGGCCCTGGAGTTTTACCGGGATGGACCCCCCCCGTCCTCGCTCTCGGGGGGGATGCAGCGCTCCAGAAGCGAAAGGTTTATGATTCTCCCTGCCGTGGCTGCGTCGTGTAAGTTTCGCTTGCTTCTGCTGCCTTCTACTCATGCAATGTGGAGACACGTGCCTCTGGCGATCTTGGGCCGCTCGAGCATGAATAATTCCTGGCCCAAAAGATGTGTTCAACATATGCCTGGAGCCCGCATTGCACGCGCCCTCCTGGCTTGGCCGGGTAGGCGCAGCTGCCGACTTTGGGCCCGAGGTGGGCCCGGCCAGGCTCTGTGAGGTGGTCAGGTGATGCCGCCCCCCCAGACACGTCCTTCTCCTCCGTCTCGCTTCTGCCGCCTCACCCTGTCCCTCGGCCCTTCCTCAAACCACCTTCCCGCTCTCCCCTCTCCCCCCTTCGCCCGTGCCCATGGCAGGGTCCATTGCGGTCCGAGCGATCCGATTCGATTCGATTCCGACTGGCCCGATCCGATTCGATTCTGGTATTCCAGCTATCCGACGCGGCCCGATGATTGAATGGTGGTGGTGTGCATCCTGGCGCACCCGATCCGGTTCGATTGATGTTCCGTGCCGATGCGGCCCGATCCGATGCACATGTTGATTCAACTCTGACGTGCCAGATGCCTAGATCGATGTTGCCTGATCCCGCCATGGTATTCACACCCCCCGACTCCCCTCGCTGTTCTGCTGGAGCCTTGCGCTGGGCTCGGTAGGGCACGGAAGCAATGCTTTCTGCAGAGATTGCGTGTCCATCAGATCCGCTTCGTTGCTTATCCGTGCCTCGCGGAGATCTTGCCCCAGCCAGGCTCTTTTCTCATCCTGACCTTCTGTTGCCCGCGATGGCCGTGGAGGTCGGGCGGCGGATGGCCTCTTGCAGCAGCGGGGGTGGCCCGTTGCGAAGCTGCCAGTCAGAGCACTCGAGCCTGCCTTGTGCCCAGGACGCAACCAGCGGCTATCGTGCTTGCTTGTCTCCTGCGGCTGTCCTGGGGCAGGGGCCACTGGTTCGTGCGACTGTTCCCCGCTGTGCCTCGGAAAACTTCAGGGGCGCGTTTGGCACTGCGCTTGTAGGTTTGGCTTCCGATGTGTTCAGGGAAGGCCCCTGAGGCTGTCAGTCAAGTGGCAAGTTTATGGAACGGTATGTGCAATCTGGCGTTTGGTGCTTCAGAACGCGCAGCCGCGGCTGAGAGGAGGCCTAGAGCGCTCGCGGAGCCTGCCTCGGACCATGCTCTGGCCAGGCCGGCTGCGCATCTGGGCCCTGTCTATCAGGCTTGTAGCGTGCTCATTTGACGCTGTCTTTTGCTGGTCGCGAGCGGTGCAGCATTCCAGCGTCCCCGTGAGGAGCCCGCCTGCCTCGCGTTTTTGGCTTGTGCTGCTGTCAGGAGGGGAAACACACAGACACAATGAATCGTCGATTCCAAGGAGAATATGGGAAACTATGGGAAGTGGGGGGGAAGATAAAAACACAGAAAATACAGGAAAACATGGGGAGCCCTGTTATTTGTGTTTATTTCTTTGTGTGTCCCAGGGCCCCTTCATGTTGTACCCATGGCCGCTGAGCCTTGGCACCTCGGCCCCGTGTTTCGGGGGGGGGGGCAGGGGGCCCCAGGGGCTGGGCATCAACAGCCCTACATCGGCGTCGCCTGCACATCCTCGTACTATGTGTGCGTGGACCCCGCTGGGGCGACACGCGAGCTCCTGAACGGTTCAATATCCGTGGCCAGCGCGTTCTGGGCACACCGCGCTGGTAACGACACACTGTGTTCAAGATGTGTGCACTGCATGTTTGGGTCGGACTTATGCCCCAAACGTGAATACATCGTACTGACATGTCCGTTTGCGTCCCGCTGCATCGAGCCCCCTGGCGGAGAGGGCGAGATTGGTGGTGAGCACATCCTGGGATCCACGGCCCTCGCAGGACCTTGGAGTTGGTGGGGCCCGGGCGCGTTCAGAACGTTCGCGATGCCCGTGCTGGTTGCCTGGCGTCTTCGATGTCCGCGGCTTCGGCCGCCGTTCCGCACGGTCCGCCCTCGCGCTATCTGGCTTGCCCCATGTGGTAATGTTAGCCCCGGAATTTGGAAAGGGAGGACCCCCCGTGTCTCAGAGGGGTGGACAGCGCTCTTGGCGGTAAACAGTTGATGAGCTATTTCGGGTTTGGCGGCGGCTGCGGCAGCCACAGTGTTTCAGTTTCGTTTCGTTACGTTACGTTGCCTTCTACCATTCGAGTGACGTGGAAGCACGTGCCGCTGGCGACCTTGGTTGGCCCAAGAGGCGTTTCTATACTACATGTCCCAGCCCTCCTGTGCGTTGGTTCCTCGTTTTGAATTCGCAGCGCCGCGCGTCTCCTTCGCCTCCTCCTGTTCTCCTCTCCTATTCCTCCCCACGTCTCCCTCCACTTCCTCATCCTCCTGTTTTCCCAACCCTCCTGTGTGTTTGGGCCTCGTTTTGAATTCGCAGTGCCGTGCGAATCTTTCCTTCCTCCTTCCTACTCTTTCCCCTCTCCTGCGCCACATTCTCTTCCCTCTTCCATGTCACATGTCGGCTCCACCGATTGCCCCTGTTGCTGCGTCCGCATGGTGACCCGCCCCATTTCGGCGCACCCCTCACGCGTTTCGTGGCCCCGAAGAGGCCTCCACCGAAGGCTCCAGAGGCTGCGTCCGCATGGTGACCCGCCCGATTTCGGCGCACCGCACCCATCACACGCTCCGTGGCTCCATAGGGAGCTCCCCTGAAGGCCCCAATTGTTGCGTCCGCATGGTGACCCGCCCTACTTCGGCGCACCCCTCGCACGTTTCGTGGCCCCATAGGGAGCTCCACCGGCTGCCCCCGTGGCTGCGTCTGCATGGTGATCTGGCCCATTTCGGCGCACCCCTCACACGTTCCGTGTCCCTGTTGGGAGCTCCATCGAAGCCCAGGCGGATGCCTCCGCATGGTGACCCGCCCCACTCCGGCGCACTCCATCACACGCTTCGTGGCGGCATAGGGAGTTCCACCGAAGGCCCCAATTGTAATGTCCGCATGGTGCCCCGTTCCATTTCGGCGCACCCCTGGCGCGCTTCGTGCCAACCGCCTTGGCGATTTGAGTCGTGAGAGTGCGTGCGTGAAAGGGCAACGAAGAATTCAGGGGCACTGCAGATCCTTCAGTGTTTTCTGATGCATTGAAAGGTAATATGAAAGTCACCGCGTGTTTAGAACCTGCTGGCTTCTCCGCCTGGATAGTTTTTGAGCCCGCCTCAGGGAGTGCGCCCGCTGGACGGCGAGGAGCCTTCACGGGCGGCGGCCGCTTTCAGCACGCCTTCCTCCGTTCCGCCCACCAGGCGCAGGATGACTCGTCGGAGACCACTGTCCGCGCACCCTCCCCTGCTCCGCCCACGGAGCGCAGGAGGACTCGACGAGGGGGGTCTCTCACGGGCGGCGGCCACTTCGGCCACGCCCTCCCCCGTCCTGCCCGGCAGGAGGGCTCGACGCAGAGGAGCTCTCGCGGGCGGCGCCCACTCTCGGCACGCCTCCCTTTGCTCCGCCCACCAGGCGCAGGACGGTCCGACGGGGAGTCGCCCTCACTGGCGGCGATCCTCTGCAGCACGCGCTCCCCTGCTCCGCCCACCAGGCGCAGTAGGACTCGGCAGAGAGGAGCGGGCGGCGGCCACGCTCGGCACGCCGCCCCCCTTTCCGCCCACCTGCCGCAGGAGGGCCCGGCGGCCGCCTTCGCACAATCCTTGCGTGGTCCTTGCAGCCCTTTGGAGCGTGGCGCCGTTCTGGGCCACGAGCAGGCCCGGGGGATCACGGGGCCTCGCTCCATTGATTTTTGTTACGCGTGCGCTGCGTGTTCTCAATCACGGGAGTGGCAGGCCACGTGCTGCTCGAGTGTGAATTGCCCCCTCGTATCTCTGAGCGTGCCATTTGCAATCGAAAGTTGTCGCATCTTTCGCTCGCCGTTCCCTGTCTTGCGCCCGTCCCTGTAGTCGTTCGGCTTCGCGCCGCGCGTGCCCACCTGCGCCACATGTTCCACAACTGCCACCGCCCGCTGCCCCTCTTTGCAACCCCTCCCATGTGGAGTGGTTTCCCTGTTCGCCGTCTTCTTCCGGTCTCTTCCCTCAAGGAAACTCTGACTGGGTTCGCTTCAACGCCATCCAGGAACAGGGCTCCTCATCTTGTCTTCGGGCTCCTCTTTCGATCCGTTCCCGGCGCGTCCTGCCCGTAGCCCGACCAGCGCATGCATTTGCTTGGGCTCGCTTGCGCCTGTTGATTTTTTTAAACATGAAGTTCAGAAGGGAAAAAAACACAGATACAATTAATTGTCGATTTCCCAGTGGGGGGAATCAAAAGGGGGAAGTGGGGGCCAGAAATTATTGGAAAATATTTGTAATTCTGCTATTTGTGTGTACTTATTTGTGTGTCCCAGGGCCCCCTCAGAAGTGCCTGCGGACTCTAGGACTCCAGGAATCCATCGCGCTTCCGGTGTGCTGGCGGCACCGCCGAGCTCTATTTGGGGCCGCCCTCAGGTCTGCGCTCCCGTCCTCTCCGCTCCACGCTCAGATCGAGGTTCTTTGCCTGGGTGTTCCGCGCCGCATCTCTCTCGAGCGGGGTCACTGGGGAAGGCCGCGTGGCAGGGTTCTCCTAATGCTCCTCTCGTCCCCGCCCTCTTTGGTGCGCAGGTGTGAACGTGGCGGGGCGATGTGTCCTTCTCCGCCCTGTGATCGCAACTTGTGGATGTCCTCGGAATCCAGCCTTTTTGATAAATCGGCGTGCGCTAGCGTCTGGTAGTCGGTGAGAGCTCCGATTTAGCGTCGGATTCGCGCCGATTTTCGTTGAGTGACGTCGGTTCGCGCCGGTTCGCAGAAGCCAGCACCATGACATGGGGGGCCCCCACGCTTTGCCACAGAACCCCCCCCCGCCCTCCCTCTGGCGCGCCCCCCCCCCTGCCCTGCAGTCGAGACGCTGAACTAAAGGACTACTTTGGGTCCAGGAATGGGCTCTCTTCGAGTAGGGCCAACTACAGAACTGATGTACCCCAAAGTTGATTTCCCCACCGAATCTTCCAGAAATGCGTAGGATGTGTTGCAAGTCGACGGAACATTCGACATGTCTTTCGGCGGGAAAATCAGGCTTGGTGTAAATCAATGTTGTAGTTGATCCCCTGCTCTCTCTCTCTCTCTCTCTCTCTGCTTTTCGGGGCCCCTCAGATCCAGGTTGGGGGGGACCTTCTCGTGGCCGAGGCCCACCGTGGCCAGAAGGCCCCTCCCTCGTTGCCTGGTTGTCCCCCCCCCCTTCTTTCTCCTGGCGCCCCTCCTCTCTCCGCCATCCTCCCTTCCCCTTCCTGGCGCCCCTCCCTCCTCCCCGCCCCCTTCATCGTCGGCGGCACACTCCGTGCTGCGCCCTCTCTCTGCACTCCCTCCCCCTTCGCGCTGCTCGGCGCGGCCGGGGTGCCCAGGATAGTCGAGTGGGCGTGCAAGAGCGGCATCGGGAGGCCGCGGACGAACCAGGCGCCGCCGGCATGCACAGCCTGACACACGGCCCAGCTCCTAAGGTGGGCGTCGCCTTGTGTCGGTGCCGATCGTGAGGATCCCCCTCTCCGCTTTCTCTGGTTCGTTGCCGTGGGTTTCTCAGTTTTTTGGGGCAGGGATGGGCTCGAGGCTGCCGAGGAATGGGAGAGAGACGGCGAAGTCTTCGCCGTCGCCGACGGCGCCTTCGCTCGGGAGTCTTCTGTTTTGGGGGCGCGGTTGTGGACGTCTGCCGGCGCTAGAGGGCGGCACGGCGCAGCTCGAGCAGGACGTGCCCAGTTGGACTCCAGGTCCGGCGACCGATCTTGCTTGATCAGGGGCCGCCAAAACGGTATGGTGATCACACCGCGCGGTGAGTCCGTGGGGAGTTTGGGTCACCGCGCGGTTTTGGGACTCGGGCCGTTCTTCGAGGATGTCTCGAGCAATGGGGGCCTCCGAGGCCCCAAGACCGTGCGGTGACGGACCGCGCGGTGAGGTCGTTGGGCATTCCGAGGTCACCACGCGGTCCGTCACCACACGGTTTTGGGCCCCAAACATGCGCCGCGGCGCACGTGTTTCAGGGGCAACGTTAGGGTGGATGGTCTCAGCCCCGCCCAGGAACGCTCGGGTTTGCCATCGGGCGCCGATCGCCGATCTATCGGCGATGTATCGCCGATTCCAGGTCAATGTCCCCCATCGCCCCTAGGCCAGTCCACCCCTCATGTTGTCCCTCAGTATGCAGGCAGCCCTGGGCGTTCCAGGACGCTTTCAGAAACGCTCCGTGATGCTCCAGATCAACCAGTGCCTCGGGCTCTCAGAGAGCGCGGGTTATACCTGCCCGATGTTGTCTTCGTCCTGCCGTCACCCGGGGAGAGGTAAAGAGAGATGGAAAGGGGGCGGAGGAGGGAGAAGTCGGAGGAACGAGAGGCGATGCCACTACCACTACCAGGGGGGTCCACCTCCAGCGGGGGCGTTTACGATGCCTCCCCGAGTCGGGGATAGGGGATGTGCTGGGCTGGGGGCACACCACCGGGAGGACCCTCCCTGGCGCCGGAGGGGGTGTATGTTGCTAAGGCCTTACGGCCAGCGTCGCCGATCCTGGACGCCGTGGCCACGATGGACGAGGCATTCGGGAAGGTCGGGGTCAGACGCTCCCACCAATTTTTGAACCCCTGGGGCTTCCTGGCGGTTCCTGGAGGGCGCCTGGGGGCCTCGTTCGAGTGTGGACAGAACCCCCAGCAGTGACACGTCGATTAGTGAATTCGTTTTCGGTTCTCGAGAGGGCGCCGCGGCCGTTATTTTCCAGGCTTGCGCCCGCCAGGTTTGGGCCTCAGGTCGGTTTCACTAAACCACGTTTTACTAAAGGGAGCTCTGTCCATCCCCGACTCGTGGGGGCTGGGGGCCTCTGACACCGAAAGTTCGTAGGGTCTTCAGTCTGGGCACCCTCTTGGGGTCGTTTTTGGGCTTCTGGGCCATCTTTGAGGCCTTTTGGGTCGTGTCTTGGGGCTGTCTGGGGTCGTTCTGGGGCGCTGTTCGAGGCCTGTTGGGCTACCTTTTTGCGTCATTGGGAGCGTCTGGGGCGGGTAGGAGCGTCGGGAAGCGGAGATAGCAAGAACGCCAGAACGAATCAAACATTTACGGGGAATCGACGATTTTTGCCTGTCGGTGCTCGCTTGGGAGTGCTTTTGGAGGTTTTTTTGTGGCGTCTTGGGACCATATGTTTTGCGCTTTCCTGGGGCCCGGGACCGCCCGTGGGGGATGCGTATCTGGGTGAAGACCCTCCCTCGGGGCCCCCCCCGGGACCCCCGCACAGGACTCCCAGGCCCCCCTCGTCCCTGGCGGAAAAGAGATAAAGGCTTCCCTTCCGACTTCCGACTCAGCTGCGACGATGGCGCTTTTCTGGGCCCCGGGACCGCTTGGGGGGGATCTGCGTGGGGACCTCCCCCCGGGATCCTCCCCCCGGCGCCCCGGCGTGGAAGGGATCAAAGGGAAGGGGCTTCCCGTTCAACTTAGCTACGGCGTTTCTCAATTTCGCTTTGCCTCCGACTGAGCTACGACATTGGCGCTTTCTGGTCCCCTGGACCGCCGGGCGGGGGGGGGGTGCGCAGCTGGGTGGCGGCAAGCCCTGACCCCCGCCCCCCCCCCCTGCGGGGGGATCAAAGGGAAGGGGCTTCCCGTTCAACTCAACTACGACGTTGCTCAATTTCGCTTTGCGTCCGACTGAGCTCTGCTCTGGACCTGGAACCGCCCAGGGAGGATGCGACCCCCCCCCGGGACCCCCCCCGGCGGGGAGGCAGTGATCAATTGGAAGGGGCGCTTCCCTTCGACTCAGCTACGACGTTGCTCAATTGCGCTTTGCCTCCGACTGAGCTGCGACGTTGGCGCTTTTCTGGGCCCTGGGACCGCCCCGGCGCTTGCGTGGCGACCCCCCCCCGGGAACCCCGCTCTGGCGGCGGGGAAGGGATCAAAGGGAAGGGGCTTCCCTTCGACTCAGCCACGACGTTGCTCAATTTTGCTATGCCCCCGACTGAATTGCGACGTTGGCGCTGTTCTGGGCCCCCGGACCGCCTGGGGGCGATGATGGGTGGCGACCCCCCTTCCCTGGCGGGGAAGGAATCAAAGGGAAGGGCTTCCCTTCGACTCAGCCACGACTTTGCTCAATTTCGCTATGCCTCCGACTGAACTACGACGTTGGCTATTCTGGGCCCCGGGACTGCCCGGGGCGATGCGTATTTGGGTGGCGACCCCCTTGGGACCCCCCCGCCCCGGGCCCGCGGGGAAGGGATCAAAGGGAAGGGGCTTCCCTTCGACTCAGCTACGACATTGCTCAATTGCGCTTTGCCTCCGACTGAGCTAAGACGTTGGCGCTTTTCTGGGCTCCGGGACTGCCTGGGGGGGATGCGCAGCTGGGTGGCGACCACCCCCCAGGACCCCCCCAGGGATTCCCCCCCGGCGTGGAAGGGATCAAAGGGAAGGGTTTCCCGACTCAGCTTCGACGTTGCTGAAGTTCGCCACGCCTTCGACTCAGCTACGACATTGCTCAATTTCGCTTTGGTGTCGCTTTAGATGGCGCGCTTGAGGGGGAGAGCCCAGATGATGGAGACGGGGGACGGGCACAGCGTCTTCCACAAGCCGACAGGCTCGGCGGATTAACGTGGAGCGGTGATAAATCTGTCCACGGAGGGAAGATGGGAAGAGGAAGCGCGCTAGACCACCTCCGCCCAGAGGGCTGGCGTGATGTCCCCCCTGGCACTTTGAACCCTACGGCCACTCCCGTCCCTGCGCCACGCCCCCACCCCATCTGCCCCTCACGCCACCCCTGCCTACCTCTCCCCTGTCCTGCCTCGCCGTGCGCAAAGCACCCCGCTTCATTCCCACGATGCCCTGCCCTTCCCACCGAAGCTGCCGCCGCTACCAAGATACCCCTGTTGCTCTTGCTCCTGCTGCCTCTGGAGCCCAGGGTAGGCAGCTTGCACTGTCGCTTCGGCACCTCTTCCGCAGGAACCGACCTCGTTGGGGGTCGACGGGCGCAAACGGGGGAACCCTGGTCTTGTGCCAGAGGGCCTGCGGAGGCCTGCCCATCAGCATTCTTGTTAGGTCCCCCCCAAAGGGCCTCGCGAGGGCGCGACGTCGAACGCGCGCCGCGGGGCGCGATGCGCGATGCGCGATGTTGGGTGGTCCTGGCTCCAGCCAGTCTCTGACTGGACTGCCGCCTTTCTCGGCAGTCGTTCGGGGATCATTGCTTGAGGGCCGAGGACACCAACATTCCCCGCAACACAAGGACGCACCTCCTGCGAGGTTAGATTCAGCATCGGCGTCCTGTCCCTTGTCGAAGACCGGCCTAATCCGGCCAAGTCTTGTTCAGTTCCAATTGATCTGGCTTGATCCAGCTTTATCGGGCTCTATCTGTGGCTCAATCTGGCTACTCCGACTTAGTGGCCCTTGACCCGGATCTAGCAGCCTAGAATTGTTCTTACGAAAACCTCTCAGGATATGATCCCCTGTCCAATAGAGAGCGAGCCTGTGCGAGTGACCAGAGAGCGCCGCCCTCAGCAAAAGAACTCGAACGACAAGCCAGACGCCCAGTTCGGCATCTACGGCATCGACGACATGGCCACCCGCAAGGTCCGGCGATCACGCTCGGCATTGTGCTTCATTGTCGGGTGAGTAGCCCACCCCCTTTTGGCCATAGTACCTCTGCCACTCCGACCCGTTCAGGTGGGGATAGGTCCCGCGAGTCCCAAAGGGAACAGCATATCTCCCCAGGCGAGCACGCTCGGCATTGTGCTTCTGTGTCGGGTGAGCAGCCCACCCCCTTTTGGCCACAGTATCTCTGCCACTCCGACCCGCTCAGGTGGGGATAGGCCCCGCGAGTCCCAAAGGGAGCAGCATGTGTCCCCACCTACGGTGCAAGTCGGCCAGTAGGACCAAGGCCATGTCAATGGGAACAGGGATCGGTGAAACGATTCTCGGTTTTTGACCCCGTAATCTTGACCTCCAGATGCCTTGCTCGTACGCTGCGCGGCACGCGCTTGTGCATACAAGAGCAGTGTTGCCCAGAAGAGGATCTGTAGTTCGGCGCGCGTCGCCATCAAAACAGAGGCTGGACTCGGGAATATAGCAAGTGCCAGAGTCGACCCTGTTCTGCCAGTGGGCGTCGTCTTCGTCATCGGAATTTGCTAATCGTCCTCCAAAATGTTGTCTGGCAACAGGTGTTGTTTATGTTCGTTCCCCCTGTTGTTTTCCATGTGCTGCCATCCCACAATATCTACAACGTCGCTGTTGTATTGTATTACATCTCTTTGGTTGGGCGACAATTGGCGAGTGGGTTGGTCAATCACTGGCGACGAGGGGATCGCGGGTATGCGGGTATGCCTTTGTTGGGTGTTGCGCATCACGTGTCGATCTGCATACTGTTGCTTTTCTGGCATGTGATGCACCTCTGGTAATTCTAGCAGGTTCTCCTGAACGTGGCGCCCTTGGTACCGCGCGATTACGTCGTTATGGAGGCTGGCTCAATGCACAAACTGTCCATGCTTTTGCGCATGAAGCAGCAACCTGTTCACACCCAGTGCTATTGTCCCACTCAGCTCCGCATCTTGGTTGCTCCCCTCCCCTCTGTGATAGCATAGTTGCTTTGAGCACGCGCTTGTAGTGCAGCGAGCAGTGTGATTCCCAGTCCGTATGTGCTTGCCTCGAGGCCATTTGCTCGGGAATGTTGATACATCAGGGGGGCTTAAGTAATGTAGTGGGTGCAGGTTGCTGGGAATGACGTTTTGCTATCAGACGCGTGCCTTGTACAAGTCAGCTCATGTGTGTTGTCCATCCTTTGCCTTCAGTACCGCATTTGAAAACCAGTCGGTGGCACATTGTGCCTCATTCGCAGCGACCGGCAATAACACATGTTTTGGTTTGTCGTGGCACGCATGCCGCATGTCATCATGTTGTAGTTTGCCCGTGCCACATCGGTGTGTCTAACATTTAATGGATTGATGTTGCGCCGAAGGTGAAGTCGAATCTGATCAAAAGCGAGAGAAAGGACTTTCTGCACTTCTGGTTTTACTCTTCGCGTTGCTTCACATACTTCCCATCATCCCCTGCCCTCTTCTTCGAACTTAATAGTATTCGGTATCAACCCGTAGGAGCCTTGTAATTTCTCGAACTTTTGTCTTTCAAGTGCATTCGCGTGCGCTAGCGTTTGTTAATCGATAAGGAAGTGCCGATTAAGTGCCGATAAGCGTAGATGCTCCTCTGGCCTTATGTTTTGAGGGGTACCCACCCCGATCCACGGATTTTGCGCCCACGCGCCAGATCTATGGATCCCGAATTCATGTCAGCGTGTCCCCGAATCATCTGTCATGGGCAGATTGGCACCCCGCCATCTAGAGTTAACATACAGTCAAGATGCTGAAACAAGGACCAGCTTGGGCTCAGGAGGGTCTGGTTTTCAAGCCGCTCCCGAGCTTTGAGCAGCGGCATCTATTCGTGACCGAGCCCCCTCGTGGCCAGATGCGCCCCTTCGTTCCTTATTCAGCGTTGCTTATGGTAACACGATGACGGTATGGTGAAGGACGTGCACGGAGGGGCACTCTTCTCATGGATGGTTAAGTTTGATTGCCTTCCCCTCGGTGACTGAGGATCCCTGGCTGTAGCGCCAGCCCTGGACTTCGCAAACTGAATCGGCATTGTTTGTTTTCCGTCGCTATTGTTCTAGAGACCCATTCGGGTAGCCTAGACATCTCTTTGGCCCGTGCAGCAGTCGGTGAGCTCGGTCTGCTGCTTGAAGCTCCGGACCGCTGAAGTTTGCCGACCCTTCCTCGCACGCCTCCACCGCAGGAGCTTCTCGGGCGATTCCGGATGCCGCACTTCAAGAAGGCTCGGCCGCGTTGTTTTTTCGTGCGTTCCGATCTTCTGGCCTGAACCAGCTTCAGGTCTAGTCGTTCACTTCAGTTCACCCAGGCCGCATCACTGTACAGGCTCTTCGTCCGAGTTGTATTCAGGAGGCTTTGCGGTCCGTGCCGCCGGCCCTGTGTGATGGACCTCTGCTGGGACTGGCGCTTTCACCGGGACCCCTCGGTATCCCGGGGGGGGCGGCATTCTGACCCAGGACCCCTCTCCGACCCCCCTGGGGGTCGGGTCGGCCAGTGGGGTTCTGGTGCATGCGTGCTGGGCCGCGGGCCACAGATTCTCGTGGACCTCGGACCTCGCTGCAGCACGATGGCTAGCAACAAGAAGCCAGTTCCTCCCGCGTGGAGCAGGTACTTTGAGATATTCCAGCGCCGCTGATGCCGCAACAGCACTGCCACCTCCAATGTTCCTTCTTTGTTTTTGTTGCCGCTGCGTCTCTCTCGCCCTTCTGCCACGAGTCCCTCCCACTACGCCGCGTCATCATCATTATCCATCGGTTTCTGTCCTCCTTTTTTTCCTGCTCCTAATTCTCCTCCTCCCCCTCCTCCACCAGGAGAATGTCCAATTTGTTTTCATAACCAATACTGGTATATTGCAAGGTCAGATGAACCAAGTTATTTTCATTGTTTCGAAACCAGCCGTATGGATCATCATCAGAACACGTCCATTGAAGGACTGGTTAGTTGGTGAGTTGGTTGGCTGATTGGCTCGCCGATTGCTTGGTCACAGCTTCTCTTCCAAGGTCAATCAAGAGTTTCTAAGGCCATGAGTTTCATGGACCCGCTATGTTAGACGTCCTCCAAAATTATTTGGGAAGGACTTGTCGGTTCGTGGGTTGGTTGGCTGTCTGGCTCGCCAGAGTCTGGGTCAAGTTTTTTTTTTCGGGGTAGATGGTTGGTTTGTTGGTTGGTTGGGCAGCGGTTGGTTGGTGGGTTGGTTGGTGGATTGGTTGATGACTGTTTGGGCAGTTGGTTGGTTGGTTGGTGGGTTTGTTGGCCGGCTTGTTGGCTCAACGGTTTCTGTGCCATTTTTGTCCGAGGCGATGGGGTTGGTTGGTTGGTTGATTCGCCTGTTGGATATTTGGTTGGGCGGCTGGCTCGTTGGTTGGCCTGAACGGTTGGTTGGTAGGTGGTTGGTCGGTTAATTGGTTGGTTGGCTCGGTGGTTGGGTGGCTGGTTGCCTGCTTGCCCAGGTGGTTGGCCAGTTCTTCCGTCCACTCCCCGTCCTTCCCGTTACTTCCTCCTGATTCCTCCTCCTTTCCCTTCTCTTCTCTGCAATTTCATCCCTTCGAGTGGTGCGCGTGAACCAATTTCAGTGGTTGTTCTTTCATGAATTCACATTTCCATTTCCAGGAGGGCTCAACAAAGCATAGGCACCTTGAATGTTAACAGGGAATGGCCGAGCCGACGAGCTCGCTGGTCAAGTTGCTCGTGGCGCCAGACCTCCCGAGCAGGATGGAGTCCGTGTCCTCATCCACAAGCAAAGGGCAGAATTGGTCAGGCGCAGGTTGATTCGTGCGACGATGGACCGTGCTTTGATAATCTAAGGCCTCGCTGTGAGATCGAGAAAAGCACTCGGCTTTCTGCTTGCCCCATCCACTGTTGCTAGGTTATGCATGTCGCACACTTTGCGTGAAGATGGCCGCTCTTGCTCTGTTTGTCACGGTTCCGCGCCCCAAGAAACAGTTGAGTGAGTAGTTTATTTCGTCATGTTTCCAGCTAGTGATTATAGACGATGTTTTAACAAAAAGGCGATTCAGGAGTTCATTGTACATTGTGCGGGGGGGTGGCTGCACTCCACGCGCGATCCCAGATCTCATAGCACATTTGATATCTGGTTATGTAGTTCCTGTGGCTATTTCGCCCCCAAGAGGTCAGGAACAGAGGGAAGCCCTTCACGAAACAACGTGGTAAGACATGCTCCGAATCTTTCAAGCAGGATTGGAGGTGGTCTCTGGCCAAACGCCCCCCCATTGTGGGAGCAAAGAACCGGAGGACACACCCTCCTTAATTCATTTTTTCGCTTCGCGAACTCACCATGTCCATTTCCAGATCAGTTGTTTGACCTTCCCCCCTTCCGTATATGTGCCGCCGCCGCTTCCCTCTGCTGTTTTATATTGTACCGCAGCACATGGTTTTGACCCAAGGTATCACCTTGGTGCCTCGGGACTCGGGTCGGCACCGCGGGCCAACCCGTTGCTTGCGTAAAAGGAGATATTGCGTGTGCTTCACTCTTTCATATCAGTTTACCGCATAATTGAAGCCATGCCGATGCAGCCCACTCAGAGCAGTAGTCGGGCACATGTAGCCCAAGCGTTGCATCCCATATTTGCCGGAGACCGTGTTGCTTTGGCAAGTATCTGGTTACCAGCCAAAAGCACAAGTGTTGCGTCAAATGCGCAAATGACAACGCATGAAGATCCCAGCTCGGTTCCACAACCTGCATTGGCTGAAAAATTCGAGTAATGTTGCGTTTGAGTTGCCGAGTCAAATTCTCCCCTAACGTCCCTGTAATATCACTCATCGATGAGCCGCTTGCCCCAGGACAAGAAAATGCCTCGGCGTCAGTTCGGCCGACATAACAATATGACAATGTGTATCGTGACCTCTCAGCCATCATTGCTGACGGCGAGGGAGAATGCAGATCGGAATTTCCCAAAACAATCGCGCCGGAGAAAAAAAACTACAGCGGCAAGACGCCCGACAGTACCAGATGATGTCAGCATGAAAGAAGACCCACCGATGCAGGTTCCATTTGAAATTTGCTAGATGGCAGCGCTTGCCCCGCAACGCAGGAAGCCGCGGGCTTACCTGATGAAGCGGCATCGCCACGTATCAACGTCAACAATCAAATATCCAAGTCTCCATGGATGCCCAGTTCCGCGCGGGGTCGAGAAGCTGCCAGGGGCCCTGGGGATCGTCATCGGGCCGTTTTTCGATCAAGGCAAGTTGTTGGGCCATAGGTCCAAGTTGCCTTCCCACAGCTGAAAATCGAGGCCTGGGAAAGCAATGAGCGTGGGCGGCCCGTGTCATCGCCCTGTTTGCAGGCGGCGTTCGCACGCGTGCCCTCGCTGCAGCAGTAGCTGGCTCTGCCCAGACTGCGCCGATCCGGCAGAGAGAAATTGTCTGCATGTTGCGGTTCTGGAACGGCAGAAGACAGGGTCTGAGCGGGGCGCAGCCAAGGAAATTGAATTCTGCGAACAGATGACGGCGCGCGCGCAGGCATTTACAACGGCAGAAGGATGCGCAATTTTCAACGGGCCCAAGTGCGCCAACAACCTCTGGGGGCAGCGAGGGCGCCCCTGGTAGAAAGCTGAACGCGACGTGAAAGATATGAGGGATTCGGCAGAACAAAAGATAAGGGGAACTTGAAGAAGCATTGCGGGGGAAGTGGTCGGACTCGAGCTGCGGGTGCGCCATCAATTGTTGGCTGCAGATTCTGCGGCAGAGAACTCGCAACAATCAGCGGGGGGGGGGGCCCTGGAAGATAGGGCGTCTCAGGCAGCTCCGATGGCCCAGCGTGGCAAGAAGGGGGCATTTACTGCCGCGCAGCAGGCGGCCCTTCGGGGGCGCACTGCCGCTGATCGCGCGAAGGGAATGGAAGGGTGAATGCGCGCACTTACATGGGGCCTTGCCAGTCGAAGGGGGGCAACATCTAATCTGATTGTTCTCCCAGAAGGGCGACTGTCAACAGAGTAGTTTGATCGAGGGGTCTCCCCAGCGTCGTGGGATCAACCTGCGATGATCAACGATCTGGCCACACATCCCTCGGCCAGCGCGGGCTTGCACTGGCGTCGCGGTCTCAGCCTGCTGTGAACGTCGGAAAAACTTGCTTATCGTGCCATTGGGGCGCGCCTGCGAGGCAATCTTCGCAGGTGGCCTGGGCATCCGTCATTGCCGCCAAACGCCGAAATGCAAAAGTTATATCCAGTGCCCCGCGCTTCGCGGCAAAAATCATTGACTTGGCGACCGAGCGACGCAGGCGATGCATTCAGGGGAAAACAGATTCAGACACGGAGGCCGCCAAGAGGAGACTTGGGGAAGGCCGCGGGGGAGATCGGCAATGGGGGAACGCGGCACGCGCGGCCCTCCTCATCAAACAACAGGCGGACACCTTGGAAATTATAAGGAAAGATAATAGTTTGAGAAGACAAAGAAATCAATATAACGGGGGGCCTCTCGGACGATCGTCCCCGACCTCAGGGGCTTTGACTGGAGTTCCCATTCATTTGCAGAAAATTTAACAGCGTCGCACACTTTCGGGATTTGTTGGCCCGCCGAAGGACCCTCGTGAGAAACCGCATGATGCTCGTGATGAAGCGCCGGACACCGCTCCGAACGTCTCAAGCTCAGCCAGGGTTGGAGGCGGAGGGGGCGGGGGGCCTCTGGGGGGCGGCGGCGGCGGGGGGGAGACGCAGGCGGCGGGGGTCGCGATTCTCTGGGGCTCATCATTCGCCTGCTTGAGTGCGTGGGACAGACGGGAAAGGCAACGGAGATCTAGCCCGTGCCAAGTCCCCACCCCGATGGGGTTTCGCGAATGGAACTCCATGCGATGAGAGCGACATCGTTTGCGCCCCCAGATGAGAAGGGCGCTTCTCCTTGGAATCTGAGGCTGTGAAGCCTGGAGCAGGCCCGCGGGCATTGCGAGATCGAGGCGGATTCGAACGTCCTGATGCGATGATATTTTTCGGGTTTGACTGCGCAATTTTCACGGATGAGGCAAACGAAGGACCTTCCGCCACAATGGACTCACCTTGTTGTTCAGGTTTACCGGATGGAGCAAGATGCTCCGAATGAATCACGGCTGCTCTCGGGATGAGAAATGATCCGCTTGATCTGTCAGTGGCTGTCCGTGCGCGCGGAGCCTGGCAGGAGCATGGTTTGTCTGGATTTGTTGTTGATCGTCATTCGTAAGACTCGCCCTGACGAACAGCTGTGGAAATTCTACATCGAACGGATGTCCTTGCGCCGTGAACTGCATGGAGGACTTCGGGCTTTTTTTTCCAGAGATGG